TTTTTTTTTTTATCAAAGATTAACTTATATATTTTGAGTATTATATTTGTTTTGGTAAGTATAGGATACACGGGATGAGAGCTACAATGACAGGGCGGCATAAGAATAATTTGTTGTCCTTCATATAGAAATAAGAATTTTTTGTTCAAAATAAAAAATTTTCAATTCATTAGGCTTCTTTGGTTCTTGTAAAACTCCATAATTTTCACACATGTTTATCCCCACTACATGTGCAATTTTCGGCTGAATTTTACCATATGTATGCAATATATTGATTTGTCATATATCTCATTTTTATTATAAAAAACTTTAATTATATTTACAGAAGTATATGTTGAGGAATAATAAAACTTGTCATATATGCTAACTAATAATATTTCAAGTATAATTTATATTGCTCAGAAGCTTCAAGGACCGGTATCTTTATGCTTGGCGGTTTGCCGCCTATGCCCTCAATATTTGTCAAGAAAATATGTACATTTTTTCTGTTTTCAAATTCCAGATGATAGATGTACTCTCAAGCGGTATAACCTCCGTGTAGTTGGTATGATTTTTTGATCCATCCATTATGTTGTGTTCTTTTGTGCCTACCAAATTAAAGGGTTCCATTTAGATTTAAGTTTTTGAGTTTTGAGAGTTTTGAAGTTTTTCAAAATTTTGACATTTGTTAAAATGAGTATTTGATATCACATTTTATGCCCAAGTTATTGAAAGTGTGCATATTAATAGTTATCAATTTTTTACATCAAATCAATAATATATATCTTTTCGATTCTTCAGTGCAAATATTTTTTGCCACATATATTTTTCATGATTTTACTCTTCTCCTTTTTTTTTTCACAAAATATTTTGCAATATTTTTTTCCATAAATTTGTGCAATTTCACTCTATGAACAAAAGAAATTTGAAAAAAAACATTAGTCAATCTAAATTTAGAGTAATGAAGAATTTCATTTAGCATGATCTTTTTTGTGATTAATTATATGCCTAACCTTGAAAGGAATGCAGCCGGGACACCGTATGAAATTGGTTTTTTCGTATGAAGTTGATATTGTCTCATGATTTTCCACAATCTCTCCTAAAAGATTTGTGTTAGTTTACTAATCATTATTGATATGGATACGTACATGGTTTTCGGTTAATTTTATTATCAAACAAAATTAAATAATAACCTTGTTAATGTTGGAGCCAACTATTTTCTGACAAAATTTTCAGCCAAAAATGCTTTTAAGACAATGAAGAATATGCCTGACATGAAAGATAATCAACCGATTTAGAATATTAATTTTGTCTCTATTTTCGCCTCTCTGCATATATTATTCTTATTGCCATCATCTTTATCTCCAGGCCACACAGCGGCATACATACGCTAAAACCAAAGTCAAATTTAAAAGAAATTCTATCTCAACGTCGACCAGTCATTGATGAACACCACCATCTCATCAAAGTGTGTTGCAATGTTTCAATGTTTGATGTTTCAACGTCGACCACTCATTGATGAACACCACCGTCGACCAGTCAATGAATTTTGTAATTAATAAAAATTTATTATTTCTCCTGTTTGATGTTTCAATGTGATATCTATTTCCGCGAATATCATTAAAACTTAACAAATTTCTTTGCAATTTTCTAGAAAATAGTGTATTTTGTATATTAATTTTTACTCATTCATGGAGAAATATTAGTGTTCTTACGGAGCCTTCAATCAATTTTGCACTACTATCTATAGTATTAACATGGATTTTTTTCAACTTCATATTGGTAAATATTTATTATTTTTCAGGATGGTGTGCGTTGATATACTATCAATGATACATAAATTATTTTCGGTGTTATTTATTATGATACGTTCAACGTTCATATTTATTTCTTCTGGAAGAAATATCACAAAATAGACATATTAGAAAATTAAACGAAATACATTGTTGATATATTATTACAAAATATTAGGGTATTAGGGTCAAAAGTATAAGGGGAACAAAAATATATACATATATATGCTATTACATTGCATTTTCAGAGAGTTCAAAATATGTACAATTAAGGTTCTCAAAGTATGCACCTTCCGGATGCACCAAACAGTCATACACAGTTAAATACGACTCATCAATGCAATCTCCATTACCACTAGCATCAATTTTTGAAAAGTTAACCTTTAGGGATTTGACATCTTCGACTACCTTATTTCTCTGTTTTAAGAAATTCTTATATAATTCAACAAGATATGAGTTCGAACTGAAAGTCTGAAACAAGATTCCTGTCATTCCATAATAATGACATTCATTCTCAATTTTTCTTGAAATTTGACCAATATCATCAAGAGGCTGCTTCAAGGGCCTCTTCAGTCTTTGTTCATCAGAATAGTCATCACGGTAATAATGAGGAATACAATATCATCATGAGGCTGCTTCAGGGGCCTCTTCAGTCTTTGTTCATCAGAATAGTCATCACGGTAATGGTGAGGAATAATTTGCCTCGACCACATCTCCAATTATTCTACGTCCAAGATCTATTCCATTTTTACGGATAATTCCACGTACACGACCTTGTCTGCGACCTTTTCCGGGTTTGTATATAGGCCTATATTCAAATATTAAGTCACATTCACTTCAAAAAATGAACTTGCACCGGTTGGCCTTAACTCATGATTTTTTAATAAAAAAAATTGTTATTATGCTCAACAACAAGAAGACAAGTAATAATATCACAATATTTAGTAAAATATTTCTTTCGATGTTGTTGTTGTATAATTAATTAGAGACATGAAATATGGTGAATGTTTTTTCCAACATATCTCTATCAGTAATATTTTCTTCACAAAATTTCAATTTATACGTGATTTTGAACATTATGGAGTTATAATCAGCAACACTTTTAAAATTTTGCAGGCGCAATTGTTTTTATACATGTTTTACCTTTGGCAAGATGACCGACTTCAAATAGTCAAATTGATCTTTCAAATTTATCCACAATCCAAATAAATCTTTTACTATGAGGTGCTTTAATTTTTTAGAGCTTCATCAATGTGATGATGAAGATATATCATTTCTTTTTCACATGTTTTGTTTGTGTACAGAGCCGTTAACCAAACCAACTTAATTAAGAGCAGTTTGTGCATTCATTTCCCTTAATTATTTTTTGCAAGCCTTATGACTCTGAATGCATTTCAACATCCATCACTCATAACATATAATTACTTCTGGTAATAGCCGGTGAGAGAATTTAAATTTTGCTATTTTAATCATAATCATATTGGAAATGGTTGAGTAATTACCTAAAATTTTGAATGCAAAAAAATTGGAAAATTTCTGCAGTATTTTGACATATTCTTTTCGTATTTGGGACATAATTGGGCAAAAGTCCGACAACATTTTGATGTCTTCTTTTCGTCCATGAAACAAAACTTTGGTATGAGAAATTAATTCACCCAAAATTTTTGTGGTTCGTGCTAGTAACATGTTATATAATATAACATATAATAATATAGTATGTGCATATATGTGTGTGTTTGTGGACAATACTGTATACTTATCTGTCCCATTTGAAAGGGGTCTTTTGGGGTCTTGTAGGGTTTAGCGAAGTGCGTAAAAGATTTTGACATTTTTGCCTTTTATGTATAAAACAATTGTATGTGTAATAGTATGTTTGTAGTTTAAATAAAAGTTAAGGGTATTTTGGTATTAATGTATGATTACTTTTACTTAAAAAAAAAAAAAAGATACTTTTGAGTAGGACGGATGAAAATGGTAAAAAAAGTACTTTAAATTGGGACGAATGAAGTAGTATAAAAGTAATATATAGATATATGTTTGTATGCATAAATAGACATGTGTGTTATTACTTAGAGAGAAAAGATAGACCGTGACAGACCATAAAACTTCAAGAGGCAAAATGTCTCATTTTCATTGATTTAAGATTGTATTTTTTTTTCAGCACAACCGGATAAAAAAAAATGAAAAAAAATAAAAAAATTAAATATTGAGAAAAATATTCAACAAAATTAAATAAAATTTAATATCTTTTACTAAAAGGAAAAAAAAAAATAAAAGCTAGAAATGCAAATCAAGAAAATTACATAAAATTTAATTTTTGTTAACTAAAAGAAAAAGAAATAAAAGCTAGAAATGCAAATCAACAAAACTATAAAAAAATTTATAATTTTTTACATTTTAAAAAAAAAAATTGGGGAGTGTTGAGAAGGAATACAACTTTCAACTTAAAACCAATTAGTGATAGATGGAGAGACTTCACCCTTGTAAGCAATGGGGGATTCCATATTTTTACAACTTGAAATATATTCAACAAGAAGGAAAAATTCAATAAAAATACAAAATTCTATTATCTTTTACCGTAAAAATGTATTACTATTTTGGGGATGAGTGTAGCCTTCATTCCTTATTTTATACACTATTCATCCAACATAATTTGTCGTTCGTCCCGATCTTTCTTTTATTGAAAATATGATTATATATTTTAATCATATTTTAAATTTTAAATTTATAATTTTTAAATTTTATTCTATAATTATTTTTGTTATACATTAATTATTTTTACTAATTTATTTTTTATTATTTATTAATTATAGTTTATTTAAATTTTAGTATCTACTATGGACAAAATATATGGGATCGAGGGAGTTAGAATTCTAAAAATATTATTAGTTATCATGTTTGATGGCATGCTATATTTAGAATTAATAGACATTTGCATGAAACATGTGAATTCCATTTTTATTCGCATAAATACAACACTCATGATGATATAATAAAAAATTGTTTTTTGGGGATACAATAAAGACTGTTGATTCATGCATTTGGGGTTTAATTTTGTAAAATAAAGTTAACAAATTATATAAGGCCATTTTGGGAGGTACCTGGGAGTCCATTTTGACATTATTTGTTTAAAAAATTAGAATAGAATCGGGTCAATAAAATCGGGTATTGAATATCGGGTCTCTGGTCTTCCTGTTCCCGACCCGACCATCGCCGTCAGTATTTAATCTCACTGACCTCGCTGTTTGGCCTGATTCCTCAGCTTCGATAATTAGAATGTGGGCGTTACGAAGAGCTTCGGTTCATCTCAGGTGATTCCTTGCTCTCGGTATCTCCTCAAGCAGTTCGGATACGGATATATTTAATTAATGCGAAATTTTCATTTTGTTGCTGTTGATTGCTACTACTTGCGCGTTGCATTTTGCTTGCTTGTTAGTTCCAGCAAGCTTTTTAATGTTCATTTTTGGGTGCGAATTTGTTTCAGCCTGCTTAGAAAGCAGAAGAATAGCTATTCAAATCTGAATGCTTGGACGTTTGGTAAATTTTTATACGATTAAAGTTGTAATTGACGATTAATGAGAATGAGACTCAAATACATTTGCTGGACACATCATTGTGTATCTATAACCGATTTCTATGTTTTGGTAGTAATTGTTTACTTTTCAGTAGGATTTTAAGCTATTTATTTTATTTAGGTAATATAACAATAGAAAAGAAAATGTTGAGGTGAATTGAGCCTGGTTAATTTAAATTTGATTTTACTAGTTAATGTGTTTTTTTTTTGTGGGTTCATTTAAATATATCATCGAATGTATATTTGTTGGTGTGGTTACTGCTTTGGATCCTGTTTTTTGAAACTTTTTTGAAATTTAGACTGGGAGAGTAAGTAAACCCTGTGCTTACTAGAATTAAGTTTCCAATTTTTCTACCTTATCACACTTTTCACAATTTGATATATATCTATAACTATCATGTTTTCCTTTCTCAAGGCTCTTGAATTTTAATAATTATTTCACAAACTGTGGATCTTTTTTTTTTTTTTTTTTTTTTTTTTTGGGCACATGGTATTTGTAATGCTGTTTTGCTATTCATGGGTTGTTCTCTTGCTATTTTCTGGTGTCTGCATCGATCGGAGGCTATTATACACGTTTCTTAATCATATTCTCATCATTGTAATATGTATCTTCTTTCTTTACAGAAACCGAGAAGTAACATCTGGAACAACTCAGATTTTCTGCATATCAACAGATATAACAAGATGTAATTCGGGAAATCTCAATTTTAGGATTATTGAATCACTAGGACATCCATTGAATGAGTTAAAAGGCAGGACAGGATCTTACAACACATTATCAGGAACATTGAAGACATATAGCAGAATCATTGGTTCACTGCTTAGCACTAAGCCCATCAAAGGGCAAAATGATGATCGGGACTATACTTTTACTGACCCTGGAAAGAGTCGTGCTTCTGTTCTTGAAACTGCTCCGGAAGTTGATGTTGATGATAGCTCAATTTCTGAATCAGAGTTTGTAGGAGATGAGACTGTTGATGAAAATATGCAGAATGAGCTGGAGCACTTAGGCACTGAGATTGCCAATGGTGAGATGAGATCTCCTGCAACCAAAGCTATTCCAGCAATGGCTGCGGCTTTACATTCCGCGCCTAGCAAACCAATTGGAAAGTTTATGAATGAATGGGTTGAAAAAGGGAATGAGGTGACCACATCAGAAATATCTTCAACCATGATATATCTTCGCAGGCGGAAAATGTTTTTTAGGGCGCTACAGGTGTGTAACTCCAATGCTTCAATCATATCAGTTACTTTAACTTTCATCTTGGCCTTTGCATAAACTTGCTATACTGTAGCTTACTTACAAGTTAGGATCTAACAAGCTTGGAATTTCGGGCCTATCATTCGTATACAAAACACTGGGGAAAGGAAGCTACTGTATAGTCAAATACATGAAGTCTTTATGGGGCATTTAGAGGACACATTTATCCTGGAAATAAATTCTGTTCATTCTCATTATTCTGAGCCATCTCGATGAACTCACGGTGGGATGACAACCTTTGTGCACTCCTTAGTTTCCAAAGATTTAATTTATCCCTAAGAACTATATCATATATATGATCCTACACCGAGCAAGTTCCCCAGGGGCAATCTTTTTACATTCTTCACATCACAGCTTTGGGTTTCCTTTGGCTTTTGTTGTTATCGACCTGTTTATTATTGTTATAGAATGTTGAATATAATGATGTGGTTTGATTTGATTTGGATGACCGCCCGCTCAGTAATTTTATGCTAAATTTCTGCAGCTCTTAGAGTGGCTGGAGTCGACAGGGCGCTTTGAACTAACAGAGAGTAGTTATGCTTCTTGGGTTGACCTGCTTGCCAAAGTAGATGGTATACCTGCGGCAGAAAAGTACCTTAAAAAGTTGCCTGAATCCTGTAAAGGTGAATTGGTGTACCGCACCTTTTTGGCCAATTGCGTCTTTCACAACGACCAGAAAAAAGCGGAGGAGGTGTTCAATAGAATGAAGGATTTATTCCCAATTTCAGATTTTGCTTGCAACCAGATGTTGCTGCTGTACAAGAGGGTCAACCAGAAGAAGATTACTGATATCTTGAACTTGATGAAGGAAAATAACATCAAGACATCTTCTTTCGCATACGAGGTTTTGATCGCCATTAAAGCGCACTGGAATGATATCAAGGGAATGGAGCAGCTTTTCGTGACAATGAAGTCTGAGGGACTGGAACCGAATTCCCATATAAAGTCAATCATGGCTAAACGGTACGCCATTAGGGGCCTGAATGATAAAGCTGAGGCCTTGTTAAAAGAGATAGAGGGAGACGATCTGACAAAAAATCGTTGGGCTTCTCCAATGCTACTTTCCATCTATGCCTTACTTGGAAAGGAAGATGAAGTTGAAAGAATCTGGAAAATTTGCGAATCTAATCTCCGGCAGGGTGAATATCTGGCTGGGATACAAGCCTGGGGAAAGCTCAATAGAATTGATGCTGCCGAAGAAGTTTTCAACAAAATGGTGAAGACACTAAAGGTGCCGGCTGCGAAGCATTACATGGCATTACTAGATGTGTATGCAAGTCATAAAATGTTTGAAAAAGGGAAGGAACTGGTGAAAAGAATGGCGAACATTCCGGTTGGATCGCCATACTTGTGGCATGTATTGGTGAAGCTCTACATCGGAGGTGGTGAAGTCGAAAAGGCGGAATCAATACTTGACAATGCACTTAGACGGAGGAAAGTGAAGCCGTGGTTCATTTCTTACATGACGGTTTTGAAGCAGTATGCAGAGGAAGGGAAGCTGCACAATGCAGAGAGAATGCTTGATAAGATTAGGAAAACTGGGTATTTGAATCTGGCCCCGGCGTACTGGGTTATTCTGAATGCGTATGTAGGTACGAAAACCCCGGCGTATGGTTTCAAGGAGCGACTGCGTGGGGACAATATTGTATTGGATGATTCATTTGCTAGACTGTTGGATCGAGCCAATCCGTTTAGGAAGTCAACTGTTGGTGAGCTCCTGGAATGAAGAACTTCTTAACTGGGGATTTTCTGCTATCTGTAGGTTAGTATTTAAAGGCTTTTCAGTTCATGTTATATCCATGATCATTCATTATTTTGATGATTATGAATGAAGATGGTTACCAGTTTATGATTAGTTTGCACTAATCAACTGGGGGTTAATATAATTAGCTTGTGAATTGGGCTTGTTTGGTTTTGATTTAAAATTGGAATTTTGGTTTGAGTTTTTGTTTAAACAGTGTTTAGTATTTTGATGTGAAGTTTTTGAGAAATATTATAAGCAGAGCGGTGGTTATTTGTATTTGAAAGACAAACCAAACACACCTAATTTATTATTATTTTTTAATTAAACATGTAATTATTTTCTTAAAAAAATGTTTTAAAAGTATATTAATGCATATAAAAATGGTTTATATGTGTGCTTTTGGATGCTTCAAATTTGAATTTTTCTAGTATAGATACGGATACACTTAGCTAGGTTTGCAGATTGCAGTGTATTTCTATATCGCATTTCTTTCAAACAAGTAAACAACATATGCAATTAATTGAAATTATGTATGGTTACTATACATACATTCATTCTAGGAAGAAATAAAAGACTTCAATATATACGAGTAGGACAAGACATACTCAAACTTAGTTACATAACCTCCTTTCTCTCTGATGAGCTGTGAATATCGTTGTCATGAACGATCCCTTGAGCATCGGTAGGTGTGCCTATGGATATTGCCCACTCCTGAAAATAAATCAAAACCAAATCAAGAAGCCGAACTCTTTTTTGTCCTTCCAAACATGAAACTTTTAGAATATAAGTTTCCTAGTTTATTCTTCTTGAGTAAAATGTGCATTCATTTTCGATTTTGGTAAAGATCTCAACTGTGCATTAGTTTTCAGTAAAATGTGCATAGATATTATGTCTACCTCATCAAACGTGTATGAGACCCTGGAATAGTGCCTCGAGTAACACTGCTGCGGCTGTTCCTTCGAAGCTGTTCTTTGTCATTTCGCAGCGCAGCAACTTCCCTCTCCATGGAATTCACTTCCCTCCTCATTTTCTTTGCCTCAACTTCGATGGCCTTGTTCAATGTTTCAACCTTTTTTGCCAGCATCTACATGAGATTTCATGCCAAAAGAAGTCAGATATAATATATTAGGCCCTCTTTATTAGTCACATCCCGATTAAATCCTGTGACGAAGAATAAATTTATTCACATGACATAATTTATGTGACTACTAGCTATAGCAGAAGTGGTGTGCATTGTAATAAGATATCACAAAAAGTACCTCAATGGCACCATCTTTGTCCTTGAGGCTTTCGTCTTTCTCTTGGCAAGCTTTTTGCAACTTCAAAACCTCTTTCTGAAGCATGTCGTACAGCACTCCCGACACGTAGTCTTCATTTTCCTTTTTCGATTTGTCCGTCATAAAATCACTGCCCGCATTGTTGATAGATGAAGTTATTGATTTAATTTGGATCTCTTTCTTATGCTTCTGTGAAGCTACAATGTCCCTATTCGATAATCTGCCAGTTCCATTGAATGTTACTGACAAGTTCCTTGTGTGCTTCAAAAGTGAGCTAGAAGTGTCCGTACGAGATGATGTCCAAGATGAAGCTAATACATTTCTTGATATAAACTCATCTGGCTCTCCATGCGAACTTCTTCGTGAAGCACTGTTGCTCACGCTTCTTCTACCTTGTGATAAAGATTGAAGGGGACTTGTTTTAAGCCTTTCCTCCAAGACCTTGAAGCGCAACAGGTATTTCTCCTAAACAATCGAAGAAGGTAGGATGAAATGAATTCGTGCTGAGAAAGATCATGCTGGGAAGAAGAATAGTGATTTGTTTTCCTACTTTTAACTTAGCTTCTGCTTTAGCAGCTCGCTCGACTATCGCCAACTTGTCTTTGAGCTGTTGGATTTCTCCCTGTGCATAGTAAACAATAATTGTAGGTTCAATCTTCCAAATTACTAATTTTGCAATGTAGAATAGGACTGTGATGTTCATTTTTGTAGAGTTGGTTTAGTATATACATACATATTTATAACGGCAGTTAGGTTACTGATTTGACTCGTTCAACACCCTAACGATATGGTAGACAATATAATGTTGTCCAATATAAAAGTGTGTTATATAGTTTGTATTTATATTGTCTTGTATAAATATGTTTATTATGTTAAAATCAATGTGAAATTATATCATGTGCTGTCAGAATATGAATTGTATATTGTATTATAATGTATTGTCAGAATATGTATTGTATATTGTATTATCATATATTGTCAGACATATGTTGTCAGAATAGGTGTTGTATATTGTATTATTATATGTTGTTAGACATGTGTTAATGAGTGTTGTATATTGTATTATTATGTATTGTCAGAATAGGAGTTGTATATTGTATTATCATATATTGTCAATAATGTGCCAAATGTTTTGATAACATGTGTTAGTTGGGTCAAATCAGCACCATGCTGATTTGACACGATCAACACGGAAACAACTATATATATATATATATGTATGTATATATAAAGACAATTAGAAGATACCTGTAATTTGTAAATTTCATAAGACTAACTTCTACTTTCTATTCTAATTTGTAGTTCTTATAAGAAGTAGATTCATTTGCAAACAGTGCTAAAATATACAAGTTCTTGATTATGATCCTAAACTCTAAGAGTAGTGAACTTAGGCAAATGTAATTTACATTACCTGAAAAAATTTTCTTTCTTCAAGCCACTGCTTCACAGGCATGACTTTGTCGTTGGCATCTTTCCATTCATTCGCAACTACAACAGCAACACGGTTTACAGAGACCTTAGCACGAGCTAGTTCTCGGTCTAGAATTCTTTTCTCTTCCTGCAAATTAGCTACAGCTCATAATATGCCTGAAAAGATATAACATAACTAAACACCATCAATTTAATCGGTCGTATACATTTATTTCTTGCACTTTCCGTTCGTAGTTACGCACAGCATTGGCTGCAGCCCCACCAGACAAGACTGCCTCTTCGAGCTCACGAACAGTTTGTGTTAGCCTCTCTACTTCTACGACCTTTTGCCTGTGCATTCTGTCCAATATTCTGTTCTCCTCCTGAAAATAAAGAGACGGAGTGCTCAGGTAGTCTTTTACTCGAAATCTACATAAGCATGTCGTGATTAATCTGAAAATAGTCCCGTTAACATGGATAATTTTGAATTTGTCTAACCTGGCATATTCCAATCTGTTTCATGAACTCTTGGTTTTTGTTCTGCAGATCATCCATCAAGGACGCTTTGGCGAGAGCCATCTTAACTGCACGTTCTGCTTCTAAGAGCGCCAACTCTTTAGACTTGGTAAGCCGATCAAGTGCTCTGTTATCTTCCATTAGAGTTGCTTTCTAATAGCAAAAGCAAACCATCCAAGTCTAATGTTAGAAAATTTGATGTTTATGTCTGAACTTCAGTTTACTGACAATGTTAATAGGTAAAAGTAGTCATCGATGATAAGTATGGCATCACCTCAATTCTAGCCAATTTTAACTCAGCCTCAAGAGGGGCGATGATTGCCTCGATTGGAGGCATCTCATTGTCTTTCTGAGCAGCATGAACCCTTCGAAGTGTGGCTTCTGCAGCAAATTGTGCAGCCACAGCAGCCTTTTTCTCCTCATTGATTTTCTTGATTTCTAGATTCTGAAATTTTATGTGAAAATTGTTATGTTACATAACAGTTTTCACTATTCAGCATAAAATAATTAAAGTTGTTCTGTTTTTTTACCTTGCTTTCGAGTTGAGCTTCTGTCACTTTGAACTTTTCATCTACTTTCTTAAGCTCATTAGTAAGCTGAAAAATAAAAAACCTCGAGACAATTATGAGCAACAACTTAGTGAAGTGGAACCTTGTTTAAGCTTGTGGAAATGAGTAAACCTGGACAAGATTTCGATTACGTAAAAGATTAAAATCAGTCAGTAGGATTATTATTGTACCTCTTGAACTGCCTTCTCTTTTAAGCGTTGTTCATACTTGAGTGCTTTGATTTCCCCATGTAACCCAGCCACATCTCTATTTTTTTCTGCAGATTTTGAAAGATTGTTGAACAGAAATGCTCAAAATCTTATCTTGCCTTACAGACATAAACTGAGGGAGGGGTACGTAGGTTTCATACTCTTTTTCAATAATAGCCCCAATACATTATTTAAAGTATGGTTGGTATCTTTATTTTATTATTTTATTTCCCACTAATTTTGGATAAAATATGATGCCTTATGGCTAGAATAGCATTAAATTCTTGATGCATCAACAAACTGTCCAAACATACTTCTTACCAAAGGGACACTATCTAAAAAAGGAATTGATTAGAGGGGCTGGTATGGAGAGTTCAATCATAATATTGTAATGATATATACAATATATAGTTGTTAAAACACTGGATATATCATTAGCTTTGTTGTTTATGTTGTGTTATATTTTACTCTGCATTGAGATTAATTGTGATATATATATATTGTATGGACTATTATCATATACTCCCTGTTAACATATTATATTTATATGTTAAAATAAACCGTGTATTGTTATATTATAGACAAATGAAGCCAAAATATGTATGTGGATTCATAACAAACAAAAAATTAGGGGCAATTGGTCTTGTTGAGAAAAGGACAATGATAGTTACAGAAAGCTACAATAGCTAAGTGGAATGGGGCCTTCAAAATTGGAATTGCTTTCAACCATCAATGCAACCACATGAGTATGATGCCCAAATATTAAATCCTACAATTCCTCTCTCTCTCTCTCTCTCTCTTTAATTTTGGTATTTAGCACAATCATTATCAATAGCTGCCGTGGAAATATAACAAGCTAGCTTCTCATTTATAATTGTTACATTTTGTAGAATTTTTACACTTGTATGATATTAATAATGAAATTATTGTGATACATATTAAAAAAATAAACTAATTGATATTAACCAAACTCAATACTAATAATTAGAGTTGTCAAAATGGGTTGAGTACGTCGGGTTGGTCTGCTCCGCCTCACTTTTTAGGATGATTGGATTGTGATTTTGTAAGTCTGTTAAAATGCGAGCCTAAACAGGCCAACCCACGTGGGCCGTGGGTTGAGAGTGGGTTAGCCCTCAGTGGGACGAGTTAGTCTGCAAACTAAGTAAATATAATAACTAGTACTCATCCGTACCAACTAAATGTATTTTTTTTATTTTTTTTATTATTTTTTACCGTCAAATTAAAAAATTACTTTCGATTTTTCATCATTTGTTTTGTTCGTCTCTCATTTTATTGTTTTTTTTATATATTTTTTTTTTTCTAAAATCTACATATTCATAAAATTAATTATGATTTATTTGTAAAATATTTCTTATTATTAATTTTTTTAAAAATACTCTAACTAATAATATTTAGAATTGAGAATTTTTATATTTGTTATTTATTTTAAAATATTTAAAAGGCAAAATTGCCTATAATTCCCTTATGGTTTCGAAACTCAGCGTAAATTCTCCTTCTACTTTAAAAATTGCATGGTACTCCCTTATAGTTTAAAAAATATTGGATGAAACCACTTTGTGGTTTCGAAACTATGCATAAATCCCCATTTTACTTTAAAAAATTGCATGACGCTCATTTATACTTTCAAAAATATTGCATAAAATCCCTGTCATGCAAAATATATAGATAGGAAATCATGCAACATTTTTTAAAGTATAAGAGGGTACCATGCAATTTTTAAAGTAGAGGGGGAATTTACGCTGAGTTTCGAAACACAAGGGAGTTATGGGTAATTTTGTCTATTTATTATTTAAATTTTACAATAAAACTATTTTTAGTTATTTTTAAATACTTAATTACGAAAATATTTATAATATTAATATTTTAAAAAGCCCGCGGGCTAGCCCGCTTAGCTCGCCACCTGCCGTTGGGTTGGGTTGGATTGATAAATTTCAATCCGTTTCGCTGCGGTTTGGTCCGCAAACAACCCACTTCTTTGCGGGTTGTGATGGATGGTTTTGATAGGTCTACTAATAATAACATAATTTAGATAATAGAGATATAGTTTAAACTATATATTAAATAGTATCTAAAATATTTCTAATATCCTTCAAACTTGAATTTGCAAAGAAAAATTGACATTGCAGAAGCATGGAGTCAGAATTGTTTTATGAAACAGGACTATCTCGTAACACAACTGAATGTTTCTTGATAATGTCATTAGAATCCTAAAAATTCTCCTATTCCTCTCAATCTCTAAAATGCTATAAGATTTATCCTAATTTGCAGATTTGATCGTGTTTCGACAAAACTGCAATCTCCATTGAAGATCTCATCTAGCAGGTATGTGAAATTCAGAGCTTCTTCTTCAGATACATCATTCGCCATCCAAAGGCGAAAACGATTACCAATGGAACCGCGCCTTATAAACCAATCGAGAAATGCAGAAACCTAGAAAAACAATTATCGATTGGAACGGCAGAACAAGAATTACCTCGAATTTCGTTTTCGAGACGAGCGAGCTCGACGCGCACCGGATCGGAGCCGTGCATCAGTGTGATGAAGTCATCGACCTCCGCGCCGGCTCGCGGCTTCTTCTTGCCTTTGAACGAAGGCAATGATGGTAACTTCTGCGATTCCAGTTCTTCTCCATTAACGAAGTTGTGGAAGCTACTCGCCATTTTATTAATCCGTACAGAGAAACACTTTCTACTGCATTCAATTCAATTGCGAGACAACTAACTCCTCCCGCAGGAAATGAATTTAACTGCTCGCATATATATGTAGAATTTTTGCGAATGCTGCACAATTGGAAGAAAGCGAGTGGGATTGGATTGGAAGGAAGGGTGCAATCACATTTCACAGCGTTGTCGCCATCGTTGCATTGCAGAGGACGAAAGTGATTGAAAGCGGTTTCGGGGAGCTCCAGGGACCTCGAAACATTATCAATATGTACGTCGCGCCGGGTGCTGAGATCCAGGGAGCTTCCACGAATCATTCGAAAGTGAAGGTATATCTGTTTATTCAATAAATATTTAAATGCTGTCTAATAAATAGAACTAAAATTATGTGCTATTAGTAATCACTTGTCATATATAGTGCAAAAAGCTACTATATATATATATATATGCATGCAAAATAAAATTATTTGTAATGTCGTAATGATGCTTTGTTAATTTCTTATCTCAATAATAAAATAAAATACACCCTCCGTCCTCCGTCCCACATATCATGTTTATGTTGCCGTTTCTATCCATCCCACATTCCATGTTATTTTTTTTTAAAAAAAATTATTATACACTTTAATCTCATTTTAAACTTTTTAATTTTTAATTAAACTAATTAGTTATCTTAATCTTAATTTATAATTATTTATATTATAAAATAATTATTTTCACTAATACATTCTTAATTATCTACTAATTACACCCCTCCTAAAATACCGTGCCTACAGTGTAGCAGACACGATACGTGAGACGGATGGAGTAAAAAACTTTAATATCAAATTAGTTAGACGGATGGAGTAAAAAACTTTAATATCAAATTAGTTAAGTCTGTTTGTTTATTCTTGGCTATCTGGGTTTGTTTATGCTCTTCGGCCCCGCCAAACTGAAGCGTTTATTAGTTCTTTAGAAATTGAATCTTTAGAAATTGAAGTAAAGTACAAATGAGGTCCTCCCCTATATATATATATATATATATAAAAGGATCGGGCCTAACACTGGCTAAAGTCTATTCACACTCGGATAAACTAAATTTAATAGATAAACGTCAATTTGGTCAGTATTTTTTTTATTGCAGTACAAACATTTATCTTCGTCTCGAAGTTTTATATTTTGTTATTATTATTTTTAAAAAAAAAAATTTTGATTGGATTTTAATAATTTTTATCGAACTACATTATTTTGCATTATTTTTAATTGAATTTGACTGCACTTTTTTTTTTTAAAGTAGTACCGGATTGGTAGTGTAGATAAAAATGAATTAAAAATTAAACTCAACAATTTTGAAGATAAGTGTCATGTTAGAATTTAAATATATATTGCTTTTATTTCAATATTTGATCCTAATTGCAGAATTTGATTGTATTTTATTATTATTATTATTATTATTATTATTATTATTATTATTATTTATCAACAGACTTGCCTGCATGTTTGCATAATTTTTTTTTTTGGATTTGCTGGGTTTTTTTTAAAAATAAATTATTGTATATGACATCATTGTTACGATTTTTATATGTATTGAAGCATGCTTCTTTTTATATATCATTATTAGATTATAACAATCAAAATTTTATTATGTTTATAGTGAGGATGCAATAGTGCCAACTTAATCAAATCCGGATAGTCTTAGCGAAGGAATTGAAAAAAAAAAAAAATGAAGTAAAAAAACTATACTGAAATCTTTTTAGGAATTTGTAAGAAAGAAATTGATGCTGATAATAGATCACACACTCACACTCATTTTACAAGAGAAGAATGGAATAATTTGATGAAATTTTTTAATAAAAAGACAGGAGTTGCCAATATAATTGAAAGCAACTTAAAAATAGATGGGATAATTTAAAAATAGAGTTTGGTTTGTGGGCAAAATTTGTTTAAGGTTAGACTGGTATTGAATGAAATCCTATAAAAAAAACAATAACAACAGAAGAGATATTGACATCGAAAGCTAGAGTACATAGTACTTTTAATTAATTAATTGTATAAATAATTGAAAGTGGTTCATTAGATGTGTTAAATATGTATATATACTGAAAAATTCGAAGTATCTTATATTTAAAGATGGTCCTCCGATATTTTTGGATTTTATGGAAAAAAATTTTAGGATGTAGTTACTACGGGTGAATATATTTTTTGGTCAACTGAAGACGAAAGTAACGAACAACTTGCTAGTGCTGAAGATCTGATTTTAGAATCGTCAATGAATACTATAGATACTTATGTAGAAATTGACAAATGACCGGTCACACAAAAATAAAGATGCAAAAAAGAGAAAGAGAGTGAAAAATGATGAAAAGAGAAGTGGACTGATAGACTTCAAGCACCGTTAAACAATTAATTGATTGTAGTAATGACACTCCTAATTGCAAGATTGTTTAAAAATGCTTAAAGATCTGTCTTAAATGGTACCTTCGAGTGATGTTTATAATTTGGTATTACGAGTACTTGTGAACAAACAACACAGAAGTATTTGCCTATTTTATGAACTTGTTATGAGTTGGTTGGCCACATTTTTTCTTGAGGATGCGAAACACTTGAAATGAAATAATAATATATATGTATACATTTTTTGATTAATTTGATTTTTTAGCAATTCATTGAATGTGAACTAATTATTTATTTTTTGGTCAAACAAATTTTTGTTTGTGGAATTTTTATTTATATCTATGTTTATTTCAACATTTGTTTATTGATTATTTATATTTTGCGGTGTATTTATCTTATTATAATTTTTTACATGAATTTTTTTTAATAGTTGTAGATATTGTGTTTTATTTATATTATGTGTACAGAATGAATAAAGATTTGATATTGAATCGGATGAAGATGAAGAGAAATATGATATTATCAATAAACATAGAGAATTACTCTATTTATATTGCATTTGTTATTTGAAATATTTTCATAAAGAAAAAAAAAAGAGAATACCATGTATTTCTGGACAAGCTTGGGTTGAAGAGGTAAAACACATACACGAAGAACATTTTTTTAGCAATTTCAACTGAAAGAATATGTATTTTACAAGTTAGCATCTGATCTAAATAAGAAGTTCGGATTGAAACCAACTCGAAATGTTAGTTTACATGAATTTGTGGCTATTTTTTTATACATGGTTGGACATGCTTCGTCAGTGAGAGAATTGGAAGAAAGATTTCAACATTATGGAGAAACAATATCCAGACATATTCATAGAGTTCTAAAGACTATTTGACGGTTAGGAGTTGAAGTAATTAGACCTATTTATAATCATTTCAAAGATGCTCAGGAATATTTTAGAGACGATAGCCGTTATTGGCCATACTTTCAAGATTGCATTGGGGCAATAGATGAGACTCACATTGCAATTCAATTTGTCTAATGATAAGAAGACACTATTTATTGATCGAAAGGAAATGACAACTACAAATGTTCTTGTTGTATGTGATCTTAATATGTGCTTCGTTTTTGCATTGATCAGTTATGAAAGGTCTTTCTCATGATACTAAAATATTTTATGAAACTCTTTGTAATTCGAAATAATTTTTCTTTGCCAGCTAAAGGTACACAATATTTTTATAAACTATTTTTCTTTTACTACTTCATTATGTTTATTATTATGTTTTATAACTTGTACAACGTTGTTGTTGTTGTTGTTGTTGTTGTTGTTGTTGTTGTTATTATTATTATTATTATTATTATTATTTTATTTATTTTTTGTAGGTAGGCAATATCTAGTTGATTCGGGATATCCTACATTTGATTGATTTTTAGGACCATACCAAATACTAGATATTACCTTCTAGAATTTAGGTTGGCTCTAGAATTTCGATCGCAAAATAAGCGCTTTAATTTTTATCACTCAAGCATGCGAAGTATCATTGAAAGAAAGAGCTTTGGGAGTTTGCAAAGTAAAATGGAAGATATTTCAAGATATACATTATTTTGATCTTCAAGATCAATTTGCTATTATATGGGCATGCTTTGCTCTTGGTAATTATACAAGAAGAATGGATCCTGATATTGACATGCTTGAGATATTTGAAGATCTTGGTGAGTTAGTAGAAGTTGATCGTGGCGAAGAAGTTGGTGATATTGAAGATCAACGAAAATCGGAAGGATTAATGACCTAAAGTGTCAAATATATGAAAGAGAAGAGAGACTCTATTATGAATCAAATTCCGCAACGACAACGAGGATGATAAAATTTAAGTTATTTTATTTAAATATGTTACCAATAAAATTATTTTCTCTGAATTGCTTTGAAAACTTTAACACATAATATATTTTTATTTTGGGTAAGATGTTTTTTAATCTCGTATTTGACCCCCTTTATTATTTTAGGACTTTAAGTGGATCATGTTTGAAAATAGTCCAGTAAGCTGTTTTTATTTTGGGTAAGCTGTTTTTTTAGTCTCGTATCTGACCCTTATCATTTTAGGACTTTAAGTGGCCCTATTTGAAAATAGTCCCGTAAGTAAATTTTTTTTGCTAAAATGGTCCTCCGGACTCGCCATGCTGGTCCGCCGTTGCTGACATGGCGCTGACACGACTGACATGTCATCGCCACATAGATGCTACGTCAGCGATACGTATTGTTTTTTTTTATTTTGTATTTCACAAAATGTCTTGGTAAACTATTTTTTTTTAGTTCCGTATATAATCTCATTTATTATTTTTAGGATATTTAAATGCACTATGTCTCAAAATAGTCGTGCAAGTAAAAACTTTTTACTAAAATGGTTATTTGACGTGACATCTACATGGAAATGACATGTCAGCCACATCAGCACCATGCTAGCAACAGCGGCCAGCGTGTTAAGTCTAGCATCGGAGACCGTTTTAGCGAAAAAATTTTTACTTACATGATTATTTTCAGATAGGGTTCACTTAAAGTATTAAAGTGATAAAGGTCAGATATGGAACTAAAAAATAATTTACTTTTTTTTAATTTTTGTTACCAATAAAATATGTTACCAATATATAATTTTCTTTAAATTACTTTGAAAATTTTAATACATAATTTATTTTTATTTTTGTTATATGCACGTAAATTAATATATTTATATTTTCAGTTAAATTAAATTTTTTATTTT